ATATCGAAATTATGTACAATTTTATATCGTTATCGATAAAATTTACGACATTCGACATCGGAACGTTAACGTTTCGATATCGCGCCGTAAACCCTTTCTCACTGGGGTACCCCCACACAGGTGCTTTGGCTGGTTGGCCTCCACAGCTCGTTGCAGGCGCTGTCACTGGTGTCGGCTAGGGAAACGTTCGCTGTGGGGACACCGTTTAGGCGAAAAAACGCCACAAACGAGCGCCCTGCAGGGTGATTCCGCACACCACGCGAGGGGGCTAGGTCCCTCGCGTGAGGAAGCTAGCCTTCTGATTGAGGAGAGCGTTTAAGAGGGGCTCTCCTATACCTGCCCCATGAGTGCAACAAGGACGGAGCTATACGGGAGGTATAGGGTCTCTTCACCCTCTGGTTGAGACAGTCTTGGGTGGGAACTTGTCTAAAAAGCATTAGCCCCTCCCGGGGAACTCTTAACCGAGTCCAACGTCATTTTACATTCATCATGGTGTCCAAAACACATTTCAAATAAAGTGTCGTAAAACCAAAAACGTAATTTGTAGCCAACTCGACTCACCTCCACCGACATGCCGGCCCCGATGAGGAGGCCGAGGCTCTGCGCGACGAGAGAGGTGAGCAGGCAGCTGAGCAGCACCATGAAGAAGCGGTCCGCCTCCATGGGCTGCGCCGTCATGAAGTACACGATGCAGACGTACACCACCGAGAAGGCGAGCTGTGGGCGTGAGCAAATGGTGGGGTGGTGATGGTGAGTGCTGTGCCAAGGTGGACCATAGGGGCGAACAGGAACACTGACTGGGCTGATGAGCAGCTTACCTGGAAGGGGAGGTCAGCGACCGTTTTGGCGAGGTAGAATGATTTCAGGGAATACCAGTAGTTTAAATGCTCTCTCACGAATACAGACATCTCCATCGGGACTGGAAACAGGGGGAAAATAAAAAGCAAATTATCGTTTTGACTCCAGCGCGCCTCCGGGGCACCTTACGGACGGAGGCTAGGCAACTTTCAGAGACACGCCGCACCGGAGTGCGCCGGGACTGCCTATCCCCCCGTTTGCAGGGGCTCCGCCCGAGAGGGCGGCTGGCAGCAGCAGCGCGGGGCCTCGCCTCGACCTCGACTTACACGTCAGGATGGTGGGCATCATGGCGGTGAACATGACAAAGAGCACGGTGAAGAAGATGCAGCCCGCGTTGTTCATGGCCTTGGACGCCTCATCCCCGATGCCGTAGTAGATGACGCCGATGAGGAGACCCACCGTGAGGTGCGAGATCAGGCGGAACAGCGTCAGGGTCTGCAGGCAGGTGGAGGACGAGGCGTTCAGACAAACGGTCGCTGGCAGGGCTGACAGTGGCAGCGACACCCGGTGCGGCATACCTGGTCTCTCATGATGGAGAGGAAGGTCCTCTTGAGGAGGATGCAGAACTGCGTCGCCGTCGAGGTGGGGAAATGGCCGCCGCTCAGCGACTCGTCCGACGAGTCGAGTAGCGTGGTGGCCGACTGCGCGCAGCTGTTGCAGCTGTTGCAGCTCTCCCCGCCACCAGGAGCGCTGCTCACGGACAGACCTGCCAGGGCAGAGGGGCACAGGGGAGGGGTCAGATGGACAGCCGAAAGACTTTGCCTCATTTTCATCCGTCTTCATCCCATCCGAGAGCCTCTCTGCGGCACTCACCACAGTCGCAAGTGTTGGCGCCCGAGCCGGGCTGACCTGGCTGCGCCGAGTGTCCTGTCTGGTACAGGTTGTTGCACTTGCCGTTCGTCACGGCCGTCACCAGCTTGGGGACGTGCTCGCCGTGCTCGCCGCACGCCACCTCCATGACTGAAACAGAGGGAAGCACTCCCGTCAGTCACACCAGTCACACAGCTCGTCACCTCCATGACCCCTATGTGCCTCGAGCTCTATGCCCTACCGAAGTCGGCCGGGTTGTGGTAGCTCGGACACTCGAGCCCCATGGAAGCGAGGAACGGCACGACGCCGTGCACCGAGCCCTGGTAGATGCACTGGCCCTCGGCGAGCGCGTACAGCTGGTCGAACATCTCGAAGAGGCGCGCGGACGGCTGGTGGATGGTGCAGATGATGGTGCGCCCGCCCTGGGACAGCGACTTGAGCAGCGTCAGGCACTGGAAGCAGGACGAGCTGTCCAGGCCGCTGGTCGGCTCGTCCAGAAACATGACAGGGGGGTTGTTGACCAGCTCCAGGGCGATGGACAGTCTCTTGCGCTGGCCACCCGACAAGTTTCCCGTGCGCGTGTCCTGGCATTCGCACAGACCCAGCGTCTCCAGCAGCTCGTCCACCTGGACAACAAACGCACAGAGGTAAGCACGTCAGTTCCGTGCCTGTGTTGTGGGGTCGTCACACGACGTCACAGGTCACTTACAACGCGTCGCTTGGCCGGGGCGCCGATGTCGTCGCTGAGCTTGAGGTTGGCCGACACGGTCATGTACTCGCGGACGGTGAGGTGCGGCAGCAGCTGGTCGTCCTGCATGATGTAGCACGACATCTTGCGGAAGCGCCGCAGGTTGCGCGGCCGCCCGTTGACGAGCACGCTGCCGCTCAGGTTGGACGTCCTGTACCCGGCCAGGCTGTTCATCAGCGTGCTCTTACCGGCCCCGGACGGGCCCATGATGGCCGTGAGCTCGCCGGACCAGAAGACGCCACTCACCGTCTTCAGTAGCGTCTTGTAGCCTGGGAATCGAATCGAGACGCAAATTATCAAAAGTAAAGTGTCAACATTTTTTGGCAATTTTAGAACATAAAGGCATTTCTTTCCAAAAATGTTAAAATTTGATAATTTTTCCAAATTGTTTTGAAATTTTCAAAATGTTGTTAAACTTATGTGGGCTTATAATTTATTTTTGTTTCTGTGAAGGAATGGAATGCATCGCAGTCAGCCCTATAGGTGGGGGCAAGCCGCACCCCCACTCAATAACCAACTCACCTCTCTTGCGCCCCTCGGACACGGAGTACGCGAGGCCATTGAACTGTATGGCGACGGGCGGCCTGCGCGGCAGGTTGCTCAGCGTGATGGGTGCCTTGCCGCCGGCAACGCCGCCGCCGCTGCTGCCACCGCTAGCCACCGACCCCGGGGACGTGCCCCCCGGGCCCTGGCCAGAGCCCATGGGAAGCGGGCCCGCCAGCCCCAGTTCAGCCGCCCCGACGGACAGGTAGCTGCTCTTGTCGTTGGGGACCTTCTTGACGAGCGCGCCGTGGAGGCCCTGGCCGCCAGCGATGCCGTACGACACGTAAGGGCCGCCCCTGTAGAAAAAAAGAATTGGGGTAAATAATGGTGACTGCTGAACTGGTGTTCGAACCCATGACTATAGATAGTTATTACAAAAAAACTCACCCCATGAGAAGTCCATTGTTGAGTCCCTCCCCCTGACACGGTGGAGGTGACGAGGGGAGTCCCTGGGCTCCACTGCCGTCGCCCATGGTGAACCTGGGAGAGAAAGCACACTGATGAAGTCATCCACAAGCGGGTGAAGGAGGATGACTCCCGCTAATGTGGTAGGAACTAATTGTACAAATATCTTCAAAACCATAGAACAGAGGTCTCTCGCGTGTACGATCCCATGAGCTCCGTAGCGTGCATGCCGGTGGGGGTGGAAGGGGGGAAGGGGCTTTCGTTTTCTTTGTTGTGGTTCAACAAGCTTTCCGCTTGTTTGCGAAACTGCGCGCATTCCGATGGAGTCCCCCGGCCGGCTGGCCTTGGGAACAGGCTCAAACTTCCTGATCTCATTAAAATAGTTGCACCCTTGAGGAAAACACGATTACGCGATATTTTAACCACGTCGATTTCCTCTCTTTTCGACGAAGTCGTCCCGATATCTTTTCGACGTCCTCAATGAAATACGTACGGTATAAGGTACGCTCGTGCGCCCTTGACCAATCAGGTCCATTATACCGTGTGGCGGGGCTACGACACTAGTGGTGCGCGGGTTTACCTACTCCAGGGGCCTTGGTGCCTAACGCCTTACTGGTGGAGCGAGTTGGCAAACCCGCATGCTGCTGTGTCGCAGCCCTGACACGCGGTACGCCATCACTTACGTGCGGTCATACGCCTGTTAAAGTGCCTCCTATTCTTTCTCCAAGGTCGTATCTCGGCTGACCAGGTGAGGGGGGGGGGGTGAGTGGCACTCTTGACAGTCATGGCGATGGGATGGGGGCAGCGGGCTGGAAACCGCTGGAGCGCTCAGACAAAAGCCCTGAATCTTGCATGGGACGGGACAGGAGAGGCGCCGAGAATAGCTGATTGGAGTCGAGCTCCACACCCACACTGTCCCGCTTCCCTCCCGCTTGTTCCGAAGAGCAGGTGGGGCAGGAAGAGCCCTGCTCCTCAGCCAGGTGAAACTAGTATAACTTCTGTATAATTCAAACTGCATTTCCGAGTGCATTTCGATCTGCAGCCGACCTGAAGCCGATCGGAGTTTGCTCGTGTGAGTCGCGTGATACCTGAACGCAATACGTACACATCTGTAGGGTCTGAGGTATGGTCAGTGCGAAATCGTCCTCCTCTCATCAAGGTGCA